ATAAAAAGTTGCATTTTGAAAACTCTGACTTGCTCATTTTTCTCAGCTCACATATGACGAGACAACCAGTGTGATGCTCTGCATTTGATGCCTGGCTGGTAACACTGTATTTGTATTTGTCATTAGATCCTCATCATGCAACACATTCTCACTTTGGAAAAGCGTCAATATGTGACGACTTGGGAGTGAGAATGTGTTGCATCATGCTGCACTGAGACATGAGCAAACAGACATGTACACAGTTCCACTCATGTTAAATCTCACCAGCTTTTGTAACATTAAGATGTTCCTTCTTGAGGACAGAAGCAGTCACTGGCTTCACTTCTATGACTCGTTTTTTGGGTTTTATCTCTGTAACGAAAACACACACACACACAGAGTTTATTTACCAGGTAATTATTTATAAAGAAGTACAAACTGAGTCTATTTAGATCAAATTAAAAACATTTAAAAGTTTTTTTTATTCTAGTTTAAATTTCTATATGTTTGTTGGTGGTTGTATTACCTGGTTTAACAGATTTAGTTCTGACTTTTGCTTGTGGTTCCTTTTTGTGCTCCTTCAGAGCTGTCAATGGCAAAACGTTTTGCACAACTTTTGTGAATAAATAAATATAAATGCATTAAATATGATTAATTGACTATTACTAAAAATGAGTTTGAGTTCCAGTGTTAACATGCTAAAGTATATAAGTATTACAACATTTAAATAACTACTGTTACTGTACAAATAAATTACTAAAACAAACAACAATTCATGCTTTGCTTCACCTGTCTTCAGCAGTCCTGGTTTAGCTGTCACCTCAGGAACCTCTGAGTTTGAGGAACACAAAAACCATAAAAAATATTTAAGTGATAACATAATCATGGTGCAGTCTAAAAAGCTGCATTACATCGTGAAAAATAAAATTAACACTCATGGTAAATCAGTGTAGTCTCACCAGCTTTTGTTATATTTCGATGTTCCTTCTTGAGGACAGAAACAGACACCCGCTTCACTTGTGTAATTAGTTTTTTGGGTTTGACATCTGAAATGAAAACAAGAAACAAAAACAATTATTGACTAATTGTATTAAATTTTTTTAAAGAAAATCTTTTCTACAGCCCATGTAAAATATTTAGACTCAAAAGGTTCAGAGGTCCATGAAAAAACCATGAAGAAAATTAAGAGTCATCCAGTTTTTTATGTCTTTGAGACATGCTTGTAGTTTAAGTAACTGATTAGATTCATCAGGTTTGATGGATAAATATAACTGAGTGTCATCAGCATAGCAATGGAAATTTAATAACGTTACCTAATGGAAGCATATATAAAGTAAAGAGGMTTGGTCCAAGCACTGAACCCTGAGGAACTCCATGACTAACTCTGGTGTAAGCAGAAGATTCATAATTAACATTAACAAACTGAAATCTATCAGTTAAATAAGACTCAGACCATTTTAAAGCTGTTCCTGTAATCCCAATATCAAGTCCAAGCTTCTGTAGAATATTGAGATCAAACGTATCATTTGCAGAACTGAGATCTAACAGGACAAGAATGGACACAAGTCTACTCTCTGAGGCCATGAGATTAAGTAATGAGTAAGGAATAAGTAAGGAAATCTCTTTATTGATAAAAATAAATAATAGCTACAAACTTTTATTTGGAAAATGGAAAAAAGAACAGATTTTACATAGTATTGTTCAAATGGACTTGTTTTGGTAACAAATACGTAAATATTTTCACAACCTCGGAGCAGACAAGTTCTATTCCCCCGCATATTGGGAACCACTGACCTAGATATATTATACTGTACTTAGAGACAGAGCTGGAAACTGGAATTTGAAGTCACAAAGCCTGAGCGTACCCGAAAGATTGGCCGCAGTAGCCTAAAATTTCTAAGTCTCACCCTTCCTCTGCCCATCTGTTTTTTCCGCTTATCTGGGGTCGGGTCGCGGGGGCAGCAGCCTAAGCAGAGAGACCCAGACTTCACTCTCTCCAGCCACTTGGGCCAGCTCGTCTGGGGGAATCCCAAGGTGTTCCCAGGCCAGCCGAGAAACATAGTCCCTCCAACATGTCCTAGGTCTTCCTCTGGGCTTCCTCCCAGTGGGATGTACCTGGTACACCTGACCAGGGAGGCATCCTAACCAGATGCCCGAGCCACCTCAACTGGCTCCTCTCAACGTGGAGGAGCAGCAGCTCTATTCTGAGTCCCTCCCGGATGACTGAGCTTCTCACCCTATCTATAAGTGAAAGCCCAGGCACCCTGGGAAGGAAAATGATTTTGGCCGCTTGTATCCKCAATCTCGTTCTTTCAGTCACTACCCAAAGCTTGTGACTATAGAAAAGGGTAGGAACATAGACTGACTGGCAAACCGAGCTTCACCAAGACAGACTGGTACAACACCCACATCACTCCACAGGTAGCGCCAATCCACCTGTCGATCTGATGCTCCTTTCTACCCTCATTCATGAATAAGACCCCGAGATACTTAAACCCCTCCACTTGGGGCAGGACCTCCTCCTCAAGCCCGAGAAGTCACCCCACCCTTTTCTGGCTCAAGACCATGGCCTTGGGTTTGGAGGCACTGATCCTTATCCCGGACACTTCACAGTCGGCTGCAAACCGCTCCAGTGAGAGCTGGAGATCACAATCTGATGAAACCAATAGGACCACATCATCCACAAAAAGCAGATTCGATCCTAAGGTCACCAAAACGGATCTGCTCAACACCTTGGCTGTGCCTAGAAATTCTGTCTATAAAAGTTAGGAACAGAATCGTTGACAAATTGCAACCTTGGCGCAGTCCAACTCTCACCGGAAATGAGTCCGACTTACTACCAGCAATGCGGACCAAGCTCTGGCACCGGTCGTCTCACCCTTCCTTAGAAATTATAATTGACATTGTAACAGCCTGCTAGAGAGTTGGTACAGTGTGTAGTACAGACCCATAGCCCTAGTGTGCAGATAGTGACTTAAAAAGTACATATAGCAGCACTTAAAACATTAGGCATTATGGCTTCAATTTTGAAGAACAGTAGAAGGATGAAAAACTTTATCCATCTTTATTCATATGTAAATATTTTTGCACTGGAAGTAATTTCATTCATCACACAATGACCTCCACCAGACCCGGGAGGTTTCCATTCAAGTATGAAACAGCTGAGATCATGAGATTCATTCATCTTAAATGCTGCTAGACTCACCGGTTTTTGTAACGTTAAGGTGTTCTTTCTTGAGTACTGAAGCAGACACTCGCTTCACTTCTGTGATTCTCTTTTTGAGTGTGACATCTGAAATTAAAATAAAAAATGAGTATTGATCATTTTTATTGAGATTTATTAAAAAAGTAACACTTTACAGCCTATTTAAATTAGAATTTCTTAGACTGAAAAGGTGAAGTGTTCCACAAACAAGAAACAAGAAAATGTACACAAAATGCGTGTATGTTTTGGAAGTGTGGGAGGAAACCCATTCAAGCAGAATGTGGAAACTCCACACAGAAAGACTCTGGGTTCAACGGGGGGACCAAACCCAGGACCTTCTTGCTGTGAGGCATCAGGACTAACCACTGATCCATCATGCTGCCTTATTCAACTTCTGTGCTCAAAAGGATCCTGTCCAACCAAAAGTCAGAGTGTCCTCTGCTCCCCATGGGGTTTATGACCTCTCACAACAAACCATTTGGTCCCTTGAAATGAGAGATTAATTTGCATTGCTGGTTATAATTTAGCCAAGTTTCCAGAAAGTGTTGGACTCTGACAGGATGACACTTTGTCAGGGTTTCTATTCATAAATTTTACGGACAGATAGGAGTGACAAGTCTCTGCTGTCGGAGGGAACAAATTACTGTACATCATTACTGTTTGTGGATAATGTAGTCCCATTAGCCTCATTAAACAGAAACCTCTAGCAGGCATTGCAGCACTTTGCAGTTGAGAGCACCTCCAAGTCAAAACCCATGATCTTCAACTGGAAAAAGATAGATTGTTACCTTTTGGTTGAAAATGACCCACACACCAAATGCAGGAGTTCAAGTATCTTGGTGTCTTGTTCAAAAGTGGGAATACACTTCACTCATGACATCATGTATATCATTATCCGCCACTTTCTTTAATGATTGGACAAGCGGCATGGAATATATGGAGTGATAATATAACAGAAATAATGTTCTTAGAGTGAATTTCGACAAATCCACCTTCATTAAATACAGGAAATTTCATTTGGAACGTTAGCTGGAAGGTCTTTGACAGACTAGGAAAGTGATCAGAATTGTTAAAAAGGTTGGTGTTTTTATCGGTATCTTGTAGCTTGAGCTTGCCGCATCGATCGAGTGTGTGTGTGTGTGTATTTTTATCATTCAAGCCACTGCTTCAGCATTGTTTTAAGAATTTAATGATGTGGTAAAAAATTGTGTAAGCAGTAATGTTATCCCCACATGTGTGACTGACGGCAGTAGAATGCCTTGTGCAGCTAGCATGGATGCTACCAGTACAGAAAAATCATTATAAGGTTTACTGTACCCGTTTATCATCAGAAAGCACAGGGATAGTATCAGAGTGGTCCCGTGTTGGCCTTTTACCTCCAATAAATTGTTTAGAGTAGATGCAAGTCCATATTTTTTCCTGTCAAATTCAGCTTGTATAATTGCTTGAATCCAGCTGTTAGCCTGCATCTCACCTTGGGAAAAGTGAGAAAAAAATAGTCCTTCTCTGTGGGGATGATAGCTGTATCCTGAGTCACTGTTCCAAGTAACATAGAACAATGGTCTGTGGTCCTCCCAGTGGAATTTGATGCCATTTTCTGAAATTTCTTTAAGTTTAAACACAGCTAAACTGCGCATTGTGGTCAAAACCAATAGAGTCACTACCAGAGTTTGTACCTACACCGGTGTCAAGCGTACATAATCTTGTGTGTTTCAAAATTAGCCTGGGTGGAAAACGCCATTTGTGTGGTTTGGACACTTGGTAACAATGCTTTCTAGACACGTTCCAAGGGAGGTGTTTCAGACATGTTGAAACCTTGGGGAAATTTAGGAATCACTGATAAGAATATATCTCACTGCTGTCCTTGGGATACCTATGAGTCCAACTGGAAAAGAGAAGTAGCTGAAAAGAGGAAGGTGTGGGGATCTCTGCCTAAGCTAGTCTTCCAATGACCTGATCTTGGCTAAAATATGAAAACTGTAACTTAGTCCACATCTTTCACCAAAGAAGGCAGTTTTGTAGAGTCAACATTCAAAAAGGAAGTGCCAGATTTTTTGGTTAGTTGGCATCTCATCAACAATGACCTTATCACCAATTTTGGTCCAATTATTTCTATTCTTGTCTAAAACAACTACAAAAGTTTTAGCTTCTTTTCTAAATAGCTCGTTAAGAAAAAGAGCATGCTAACAAATCATATTAAATATTTGAATTCAACACTTGACAAAAAACAGCATTGCCACTGGAAGAAAAAAAGTTTAACCATTTGTCTCTGAGTCAAAAGCATACCTAGCTTTGGTGTAGTTTTCTTTTCCTCTTTTCTAATCTTCTCTGCTYGTTCTTGTGAAGGTCTGAATGGTTTTTCTTTTCCAACTCTTTTTTTTGGTTCTGAATTTATTGTTGGCTTCTTTAGTTCTTTTACTTCTTCTTTGGGAGCGTTCTTCTCTTCTGTCTTTTCTTTGGGAGGTTTCTTTTCTTCTATCTTTTCTTTGACAGGTTTCTTTTCTTCCACCTTTTCTTTGGCTGGTTTCTTTTCTTCTATCTTTTCTTTGGCTGGTTTCTTTTCTTCTACCATTTCTTTGGGAGGTTTCTTTTCTTCTACCTTTTCTATGGCAGGTTTCTTTTCTCCTATCTTTTCTTTGGAAGGTTTCTTTTCTTCTACCTTTTCTTTGGGAGGTTTCTTTTCTTCTATCTTTTCTTTGGGAGCTTTCTTATCTTCTACTGTTTCTTTGAGAGGTTTCTTTTCTTCTATCTTTTCTTTGGGAGGTTTCTTTTCTTCTACCTTTTCTTTGGCAGGTTTCTTTTCTTTTTTCTTTTCTTTTGGATGTATCATTTCTTCTAACTTTTCTTTGGCAGGTTTCTTTTCTTCTATCTTATCTTTGGGTTGTTTCTTTTCTTCTATCATTTCTTTGGAAGGTTTCTTTTCTTCTGTCTTTTCTTTAAGTGGTTTCTTTTCTTCCATCTTTTCTTTGGGTTGTTTCTTTTCTTCTATCTTTTCTTTGGGAGGTTTCTTTTCTTCTACCATTTCTTTGATAGGTTTCTTTTCTTCTACCTTTTCTTTGGCTGGTTTCTTTTCTACTATTTTTTCTTTGGTATGTTTCTTTTCTTCTGTCTTTTCTTTGGCTGGTTTCTTTTCTTCTAGCTTCTCTTTGGGTTGTTTCTTTTCTTCTACCTTTTCTTTGGGAGGTTTCTTTTCTTCTATCTTTTCTTTGGGTTGTTTCTTTTCTTCTATCTTTTCTTTGGCTGGTTTCTTTTCTTCTACCTTCTCTTTGGGTTGTTTCTTTTCTTCTACCTTTTCTTTGGGAGGTTTCTTTTCTTCTATCTTTTCTTTGGGTTGTTTCTTTTCTTCTATCTTTTCTTTGGGAGGTTTCTTTTCTTCTACCTTTTCTTTGG